TCTCCCTGCATTCTCCTGCTTTCTGGGTCCCTTAACCTCCCTCCTCAGGAACCTCAACTCACCACCATCCGCTCTCCCTCCCGTATTTTCGACTCTCCCTGTCCCCAGTCTGCTCTTACCGTGTGTGTATCCATGCACAATTCACTACCTCACACACCCATGGGCCTTTAATCCAGAATGGAATGCCTAACCTTCTCCACTTCCTCCTGCATTTCTGGTCTTGATGAATGAGGATGGTGCCTGCCCAGTCACTTTGGGAGCAACCTGGGTGCCACCTTGTATTTCTCCATCTTCCTGACCTCCTTTAGCCCATCAGTTGCTGAGCCCTGCCAGTCCAGCTCCTGATTATCTCCTAACATTAGTCTGTCTTCCCTGTGCCCCTTGGCCCTGCCTTCACTGAAACACCCCCTTGCCTGAACAACTCCTAACCAATCTCCCACCCATCCTTTTTCCAAACGAGCCATCCACATGATTTTCCTGAAGTGCCAGTTCAGTCAGGTTGCTCTTGGCTTAAAATCCAGCAATGGGTTGGGACGCATGGGTGGCTCAGTAGGTTGAGCATTCGACTCTTGGTTTCCACTCGGGTCGTGATTTCGGGGTCATGGGATCGAGCTCCGTGTGGGGCTCCACACTGGGCATGGAGCCTGCTTAGGATTCTCTCCCCACTCTCCCTCTAGGAGTGCTTGGGTGGCTCAGTTGGTTAAGCATCTGACTCTTGATTTCGGCTCAGGTCATGATTTCAGGGTCATGGCATCAAGCCCTGTATGGGGTTCTGTGCTCAGTGAGGAGTCTGCTTGGGATTTTCTCTCTCCCTCTGCCCCTCTGCGCCCCCCCCCATCCCATGTTCTCTCTCTCTCTCTCTCAAATAAATAAATCTTAAAAAAAAAATAATCCAGCAGTGGGTCAAGTCCAAACTTCCAAACATCACCCCCAAAGCCCTTCAGGATCTTTCCTTCCTGCCTGGAGTCCACTCAGACCAAACCCCTGATGCAGACCTCCTCTCCTGCACCTGTCAGTCTCTCTCTTTCTGAAATGTTCTTCTCCCAGTTGTCTACTTTCTCAGATCCAGGCTCAAGCACTGCCCCTCCAGGAAGTCTTCCTAACACCCTCTCTCTACCACACCAGACATTTAAGGGCACCCCCTTTTCATTCCATATTAGCCGACTCATACACAACATTATAAATACTTAACATATTTTCCCCCCCAGCCCCCCTGGAAGGCATGGCCTATGTCTTATTAATATATCTCCAGTGCTTACTAATGATGGGGGCTAATAGTAAAACTACTAGTAAGACTAGTGACATCTTTTCAGTTCCAGACACTGTCTTACATTCTTTATGTGCCTTATCCCACTTAATCTTCATGCTGTTCCCCCTGAGTTAGGTACTATTATTGTTTCTCTATTACAGGTGGGAAATTGAGGCTTGAAGACATTAAATAGTTTTCCCAAGATCACTAAGACCTAGTGGAGCCAGATTTCCAAGGCAGGCAGTCAGACTCCAGAGTCCTGTGTACATGCTTAATGCATTATCTGAAGGATGGACAGTTTTCCAGTTCATATTTACTGTCCAGGGCAGTGAATGAAATAAAAGATGACCCATGAATGAACAAATGGATAAATGCCTGAACCCATTGCCACATTAGTGGAAATGGGTTAGTCTGGGGGAGGTGGAGGAGGCATAGGCAGGAGAGCTTAATTGTGAGGAGAGACAGGAAGGTGAGTGCAGCGAGGGTGGGTGGGTCTGGATGGCCATCAGACAATAACAGCCTATTTCATTGGGGCTGAGCTAGTGAGCTGATTCACAGGTTCAGCTTTTCGATTCCTACAAACCATTAGTCAGAGGTGTGTGTGCTGGGGGAGGGAGGCAGCGCTGATCGTAGCAGCTTGTCCCTTGGTCAATGGTAAGGGAGGCCAAGGATAGCCAGGGAAGTTGAGCAGAGTTGATGCGCACCTTCCTGTCTGAAAGGAAGTAGGGCTGTGACCTGCAAGGGAGGGGCACAGAGCAGATCCTGGAACACTCAAGAAGGGAGGTGTGGGATCACCTACCATCCCCCTAGGCTGGCTCTACCAAGATAGGGTTGGGGTACCTTCAGACCTTTCTAAGACTCAGAGAGACTAGGATGCTAATTCTGGCCCTACCATGAATTCCCAGTATGCCCTTAGCCACGTTCCAGTTTCCTTATCTGTAGACTCAGGGTCCATGGCTCCATGGGTGCCCAGGTCTGAGGGAAAGGAGGGGGTTCCCCACAGACAATAGCAAAGGGAAGCCCAAAGTGACAGGTCCAGTTGTGTTCCTCTGCCTCCTCCCTTTTGCTATGACCAGAAATGGAGACAGTCACCCAGGAGAGGTGATTAAACTGATGGGAGGACCTCTATGTGTGAATGGACTTCCCGAATGACAAAGCCCTTTAGAACACACTCTCGTTTGATCCTCACAGCAACCCTCTGAGGGCTGGCTCTGCTACTGTTATTGGTATTGTCTTGCACTCGAGGGACCCAGGACTCAGCCCTGGAGCTCTTTGCTTTATATCACACAATGACGCCGAACAGCATGGACCCCAAAACTACCAGCCAAAAGGACATGAGCACCATGGTCTCCATGAACACCATGGGGGATTGCTGGGGAAGACTTGGGGGCTGAGGGCCGGCCTGCTTTGTGGCCCCTGCTCCACACCCCAGACATTTCTTCCAGAGTTTATTTGTGGACACCACTGCCTGGGAGGCCAGCACACTGGGTTTTGTGAGAGAAGGGGAGGGTGAGGACGGTGAAGCAGGGTCAGTCAGGACATAATCTAAAGGTGCTCTGCAGCAGGGGGCATGAACCCCAGAGTCCTGGGCCCTGTAAGGGACTTTGAGATTGCCTAGCTTGTCCAACTGAAGTGGGGAAATAAAGCCAGACAGGCTTGCCTACATGAAAACAAGAAAACACTACAGAGTACAGTTTTTTTTAGCCAATTTTTGGACGAGGAGACTGGAAATTATTTGAAAGGTTGACTGGGAAGGTAGAAGTGGCTAATCCCCCCCGAATGAAGGCTCCTGAAGGCCCAGCAGGAGGCCTGTCCACTGTCCCCCCTCCAGGGACACAAGTGACACAGCCAGGGAGCTTTGTACCCCCCAGACCAACCTGACAGAAGGGGCAATGACTAAACAAAAGAGGACGAGGCACTTGGCAGGTGAAGCAAGGTTTTAGATTTCCACAGGGGCCAGCCCGGGTTCTAGGTCTCCCTCAGTGGGCAGGAGCCAGCTGGAACACAGCAGTGACAAAGCAGTGACAAAGCAGTGACAGAGCCCCGCAGAAATGCCCACAGCACTCAGTGGGGATGGGCGCAGTGGGCACACAGGGTGGAGCTTGTGAAAGCAAAAAAAAAAAAAAAAAAAAAAAACAGAGGAAGAGGAGGAGGGGAGAGGGTGGGGAGAGGTGCCAAGTTGCAGAGCCCCTGAGCAGGTGAGGAGTGGCAAGGATGAAGGGCCCATGCCTGAAAACCTGCAGGAGGATGCTCTCATTTTCTGCGTCTCTGGAGTTTCCAAGTTTTCCATGATGGAAATATGCCAATTTATAATAACTGTGTTTTTAATTTTTTTACTGAGAGATGATTGGCATATAATATTGTGTAAGTTTAAGGTATACAACATGTTGATCTGATACAATTATGTATAGTAATATGATTATTACAGTTGTGTTACTAACAAGTCCATCACATCACATAGTTATTTCTTTTTTGTGGTAAGAACATTTAAGATCTAGTCTCTTGGTAACTTTGAAGTACGTAAGACACTATTGTTAACTATAATCACAATGCCATTAGATCTCCAGAACTTATTCATCTACCAACTGGAAGTTCTCTGACTAACATCTCTCCAGTTCCCTCACCCCCAGCCCCTGGTAACCACCAATCAATCTACTCTCTGTTTCTAGGAGTTCAGCTTTTTTCGACTCCATGTATAAGTGACATAGTATTTGTCATGCCCTGTCTGACTTATCTCTTACTTAGCATAACACCCTCAAAGTCCATCCATGTTGCAGCAAATGGAAGCCTTTCCTTTCTTTTTCGACTGAAAAATATTCGTGTGTGTGTGTGTGTGTGTGACATGTTTGTCCATCCATCCATTGACAGACACGTGGGTTGTTTCCATATCTTGGCTATTGTCAATAATGCTGAAATAAACATGGGGGTGAAGATATCTCCCCAAGATAGTGATTTTATTTCCTTCAGATAAATAACCAAACATGGGATTCCTGGATCGGAGGGTAGTTCTATATTTAACTTTTGAGGAACCTCCGTACTGTTTTCCACAGTGGCTGCACCAGCTTGCATTGCCACCAAGGGTGCACGAGGGTTCCTTGTTCTCCACATCCTCACCAACACTTACTATCTCTTATCTTTTGATGATAGCCATGTAATGATAATTTTAAAAAAGCACAATGAATGGCAGGGAGGGGGGTGAAGAGAAAGATACATGGCAAACCGTTAGCAGATTTCTTCTGGGACGGGGAGCTATTGGTGATTTTTTTTCTTTTGCTCCTTTTCACTTTTCTCTTCTTTCCAACTTATCTAGACTGAGTACAAATGGTTTTGAGTGAGCCCTGCCCAGCCATTCCCATGCTCTCAGGTGGCAGCAGAGAAGTCCTGCTAGGTAGCTCTGGCTGGTCCCCCTGGCAGCACAATCACTGTCGTCCCAGGCCACTGACCTCCCTCCCGCCTCTGCCTGCAGGCTCGCTAAGATCATTTAAATGGAGACACCTGGGATCCTTGATTCCAGAGAAGCTGATTTAGAGGGGATCCTACTGGGCTTATTTTGTGGTTGGGGACCTTAAAGCAGGAGAGAGAAGACAGGAAGAGCAGGGAGGGCCCAGCCAACACAGCTGGCAGCCAGGCCAGAGGACCAGCCAGTAGCAATAATAACAAGGACCTTGTTAGCGGAGAAGAGAGAACACAGGTAATAAATAAAGACGTCTTTATTGTCTCTTCCCAAGATGCACAGCTGTTCTAACAGAGCTCCATTCACCCCCAGGCAGGCGGAAAGAGGACAGAGAAGGAACAAAGATAACATTACACCTTCAGGAGTAGGAAAGACCAAGGTGAGGCTACAAGGGGGCTGGAAGGGCATCAGGAGTAGGGGGAGGGGAGGGGCTGGGGGATTGGGAGGCCAAGGGGGTGGGGTGGGGGCTCAAGAAGCCCTGGAGGCAGCAACAAAGATGTCTTTGTAGCCCTTGATCTCCTTGATCTCATTGCTGCTGCTGAGGACTTGGAGCTGGTGGGGGCCAGTTTTGTTGGGGTAGAGGTCCACTTGAATTTGGATGGTATGTCCAGGTGCCAGAGTCCCAATGCTGAAAGTCAAAAAGAGCCTGTTAGAGCCTTAGGTAACTGCCAGGGTGGGTGATCTGGTTTTCCCTCTTGGTGGGTAAGCACCTCCCACCCCCCAATACCACCCAGCTCAACCTTCCCCAAGGAGGGTGCACAAGTGGGGGCAAGTAGGCACCATCCAGGAGATGAAGGACCATCCTATGACCCCACAAGGTGCCCCTTGCCAGAGACCAGCATGAGACAGATGGTACTTACTTCTTTGATATCTGCCCATCGATGAGGCCACTTCCCTCCAGCACCATCGTGCAGTTACTCAGAGCCACCATTAGGATATTGGTGAGGGTGATGTGGACCCTCAGTGCCTTGCCCACCTCAGCCCTTTTAGACACCTGTGTGGAGAGAAGGTGGAGATATTGTGGGCAACTGGCCTTATTTCTGTACTCCAGTTCAGTCACCATCCCTCTGTTGACCTCCAGGGACTGCTTCCTGAGGGCTCAACCCCTGCAGGGAGAGAAGAATATGAGCCGAGAGTACTCAAGGTTAACACGTATCCTGACCTGCCTTAGAAGGTCACAATGCTTCAGGAAGCCGCTACCAGCTGGGAATTGCCACCACGTTGAAACTGATTTCCCTCCCCACCATCTAGTTCAGCTGGCAATTTGATTTCAACTTAAGTGCCAGCTCCAGTCTGTTAATCATGGCTCATAGGAATGGTGTGTTGGAAAGATTCCCGAGGACAAATCCAGAGTCAGAGAGAGTTGTGATCAATTAGTAATGTCTGACACAGGCATGGGGTAAGGAAGTGGTGTCCTCTGTGCCACCTATATGCTATCAGGGACATCATTCCAAGGCCAAGGTCATACAATATGGCAGAGCCAGGATCTGACCCAGATGTCCCAGGCCCCAGGCAGGATCTTCCCCCCATGTTGCTCTGACAGTAGAAACAGTGTGAGTTTTTCCAGGTGTGTTCTGTGCATCCCGTGTGAGGTCTGTGTCATGGGGCAGCATGGCCTTGGCCTGTGAGTGGGAGGCAGGGATTCTATCCTACTCACTTCTAGAGCTCGTGCCTAGCTCAGTGCCTGCCAAGTGGTGGATATTTGATAAACGAATGTTGAACTAAAATGAGTTCTGACCACCCAGATCATACTTGGGACATGTTCTGGCTCAAAAAGAGAATTAAAAAAAAGAATCAAAGAAAAGCAAGAACACACCGTGACTTCTCTAAAATTCAAATGAAAGAAACAAACCTCTTGTATTCTAGTGAGGGTGTCAAAGTAGAACAGGTAAAAAGGTCTTTGGAATCCCTCACAGTCACACAAATCATCCGCAGGTCCCTTACCAATGTGGTCCAATTAATAGTCTCCTCAGCATCTGATGTGCCTGCCCCAGATCCTGTTGGTCCCCAGGACTCTGGGCAACAGGCAGCATCCTCACCTCAGCACCAGCTGTGTCTGCACCCGTGATTCTGCCCACTGTCTGCCACACCGTGGCCTGACCACCTGACAGCACGGCCCGGTGAAAACTGTCAGGGGGCCAGGCGGTTGCTGGTGTGGAGCCGCTCAATTCTCGTTCTGGGTGGGGGTGAGTATGCTTCTGCCAAATCCAGCAGGTGCAAAGCCAGGTTGGGACTAAGCAGAGGACAGGTCCTTCAGAATGGGGGGGCGGGGGGGGAAGGAGGCTTCAAGGGAAGAAAAACCCTGGTAACAGGAGATGGGGAACGTTTCTGCCCCCCATTTGCCCTTCTTCCACCTGGGTTCCTTCCTCATATAATGACCTTGCCAGCCACGCCATCTTGGAACTCAAAGTCTGGGGCTTACCTCGCATTTGTCTTTCCTCTTCCCTGTCGCACCTACATTATTATCTGCAGTCACCTTTGGAATTCGGCTTGTGTTTTTTCTCAAACCCGACTCCTCTACTCCATCTCCCAGCCACACCTCTCGTGTCTCTCTGCCTCTGCAAAGCGTTTTCCTTACTTAAAATGCCTTCATTTCCATCTCATGTCTCTGGACAGTGTCTTCCTATGCATCCCCCACAAAATGTCACCTCCTCTCAGAAGCCTTCCACTCTGCCCTGCACTTTGCCCAGAGCATGAGATAACATCATACTGGGCTTTAATCATCTGTTGGGTGTCTGAGGCAGGGACTCTGTTCTGATCACTGCTGTAGCCCAATCCCCTGGGTTGGGGGAGTCAGAGGGCTCCTGGGCCCCATCTCTGTCCAGACACCTTACCTCAATAGATAAGTGGGGAGGCTCCAGAGAGATATCTTTTAGGACCAGCATGGACCTCCCCGTATTCTCCACCTTGGCAATGCCAGACACCCGGATCAGCTTCTCATCTGTCAGCTTGTTTCTATAATTATCGTAGGATAGCAAGAGCGGCCACTGTATCTCTAAGCACAGACAAAAGACACCTTGAGTCTGGAAAGAAAGAGAGAGAGGGAGAGAGAGAATATGCGTATGTGTGGGAGAGAATATGTGTGTGAGTCTATATGTGTGTGCAAGTCTGTTTGTGTGTGTGTATGAGAGATCCAGCGTACTTACCCTATACCCACCGCCCCCAGAGGTCACTGCTATGTTTCCCCTGGTGGGATGGTGTCAGAGTACAGCACATGACGTGCAACCTCCTGCCACCAGCAGCTTCACTGCCTGGCGTGTGTGTGTACTGGGTTGCAGGGCTTGCCATGTAACCTGGCTGAACCATCCCCAGCCTTGTTTATGACCCCAAAGTTCCCATCCTTCTTGGTGCCTTTCCAGGCCTACCTCATACTCACCCTTCCCAAAGTCCAGGTTCAAGTGCACTATTTGCCTCCAGAGGGGCTCCCTGGTGTCACCCTGGTGCAACAGGGCCTGTGCGCTGAAGTGCACCACCAGTCTGATGGGACCCTGGGGGTGGACTCTGTCTGGCACCCTCCGGGCACGCAGCCTCAGCATCAGGTCCTGGCCCCACTCGGGGGTCCTAGCCAGGTGAAGCTGCAGCTGCGCGGGCTGGGCCTCAGAGCCCCTGGAGCCCAGCAGATCTAGGAAGGGAGAAGAGGCCCTTCTTGGGTCCAGCATTTTCCAGGAAGCTTTCATGAACACAGATTGCTTCTCAGGGGATCCTGGCCGAAAGAAGAGCCAGGAAAGACCTCAGTGAGGAGAGACTGAGAGGACCAGGGGCCTCCTTTGGGAAACCAAGCACCCCAAAAACTCCCAGCTCCCCTCCCAAAGCCCCAACCACATGAATGAATAGCTGCATCAGGTGGCAGGACAGCATCATGGCTGAGAACATGGGGATTGCTGTTGCTGGGTGCTGCATTCAAATCCTGGCTCAGGCACAGTCCCTGAATCTCTGGGTGCTCAGTTCTTTCATCTATAACCCAGGTGTATCTCCCTGCCTCCTAGAGTTGCCAGAATTGTGAGTTACATGAGCTGCTGAATACAAGCACCCAGCATTGTTCTTTGTCGTGAGTATTGTCACCATCAATGCTGTCGTCATCATCAAAGCCAGAGACTTCTTCCCCCACCAGCGTCCTCACTTGTAAAATACATGTTCATGTCTTCTAAACGGATCCTCAGCTCTTGCTCCTGGGGGCTACTCAACATTCAGGCTGCACCCCAATTCACCCCAAACTGTGGACTTCTCTAGAGCAGCTGCTGTGCACCAGAGGTACTGCTCCAAGTGCTTTCTGGGATTCCACTCACCTGCCCTCGCAACAGCCCTCTGAGGTGACGTTACCCCATTTTACAGATGAGGAACTGGAGGCACAGGGATGGTAAGAACACAGCCAGGCTTACACGGCTAGAACCTAGCAGGGCCTTGGTTGGCACTCAGGCAGCCTGACTCCCCCTGGCCTTCTCCGCAGGGACGTCTACTCTCTTCCACAGGCCAGGCATCCTTTCCCTCCATAAGCATCCACCTCCCCCCTTGCTCCCACCCCCACTGCCATGACATAACGAGATCATGATAGGACCCTAGACAGAGTTGCCAGGAAAAATAAAGGACATTCAGTTTGAATTTCAGAGACAAAGTGAATAATTTTTAGTTTAGATATATTGCATACTATATTTGGGCCACACTTATACTAATAAAGTATTTGCTTGTCTGAATTTATCTGGAATTCAGATTTAATGGGCACCCTCTTTTTTTATTTGCTCAATCCAGCAACTCTAGGGCCCCATGGCCAGGGTCCAGGAAAGCCCCCAGGAGTTTTCCATGAAGAGGAAGTGATCAGGCGGTGATGGTTTTAACAAGAACGAACCATCCTCACTGGGAGGCACACAAAGGAGGTTATACCCGCCCCCCCCGCCCCCCCCCCTCCCGCCTGAGTCCCCGGGGCCCCAAGCACCTTCTGGATACCTGTAGGAGCTGGTAATGTTCTGGCGCTGATCTGACCCTACCATCTGGGACTGATTTCCTTCCCAATGGAACTGGTGTTATGGACGAGGATTTCCTGGGCCTGACCATCCCCGAAGAGCCAAATGACTTCATCAGCATTCACCTTGGCATACGCAAATGGGGTGTCATAGGGCAGGTGGACCTCCCCTTCCCTGATGGCCTTCACAGAGGCAGGGCCGCAGCAGAACAGCCCTGTGGAGGGAACAGAAGTTGAGGATGGCGGCCAGCTGCCAGCCTGTGGACTGGGGTGGCTGGTGGCAGGGGGAGGGGACAGGGGCAGGTAGGGAGATGGGATGGAGAAGACCCACATCCACCGAGTACTCTCAGCTTCCCACAAATTCACCTGATCCTCACAGCCACCCTGTGAAGGGGTAGTTATCATCATCTTCCCCACTTTACAGGTGAGGAAGCAACTGAGAGGTCCTGTGACTCATCTGGGTTACCCAGCTGAAGGCAACGAAGTGAGAAAAACACTGCTCCTTTCGGGCCTCCTGCTCATGTGGTCAGTCCCCCTGACCAGCCTCCCCACAGAGCCCAGACCCTTCCTTCCACAAGGGCCTCACTCACCACTGCTGGTTTGCTGGGGAGTGGGGTCCAGAACCTGCCAACCATTGTATCCCGGTGGGAGATCTTTCCGGATCATCCAGCACTCGTTCCAGACATGGAAATTCCTACAGAGAAGAGTAAGAAGATGAGGATTTATGTTTTCCGAAGATTTGCCAGGTACTGGACACTATACTGAATGCTGTAATTTATATCAGTTTTTTAAAATTAAAGTGTAATTGACATACAATATTGTATTAGTTTCAGGTGTACACACCATAGTGATTTAACATATATATAAATTATGAAGTGATCACCATGAAAAATCTAGCTACCGTCTAGCACTGCATAAAGTTATTATGTATTAATTATATTCACCCCCCTTTTTTACTTATTTAGAAGTAATTTCAAGCTTACAGTAAAGTTGCAAGAATAATACAAAAAATACCCATCTACCCAATTCATCTATCATTAACATTTTGCCCCATTTGCTTTAGCATTGGCTTTCTTTCAGTATGGATGTGAAGATTATAAATATATTTTTTCCTTTTGTTTTTTACTTCAGTGTGTATTTTCTAAGAAAAGAGATCTTCCCCTACATAATCGTGTACAGTTATCAACCTCATATGTTTACTATTGATATAATACTTTTATCTAATTTACTGTCTATATTTCACTTTTGTCAATTGACCTAGTAATGTCCTTTACGGCATTCTTTTCTGCCCAGTCCAGGATCACACATTGCATCTAGTTGTGCAGTGTCCTTTGTCTGCTTGGATCTGGAGTGGTTCCTCAGCCTTTATTGTATTACATTGACATTTTGAATACGGTATTTATTTATTTGCCAGAGTGATCCAAATTTTGAGCTTGTCTGATGTTTCCTCATGATTAGATTCAGGTTATGCATTCATACACAGAATTCTACATAAGTGATACCGCCTTCCCAGGTATACCACTGCTGATTGAATGGAGGATGCTTCGCCCTCTAGGAGCTCAGAGAGGGAGGGGTTCCTAGGAGAGTCACTAGTTCTCACACAACTCAAAGATCTTACCTGGAAACTGGCTGGAAATGAAAAACAGGAAATCAGATCTGAAGTAGAGCAGAGGAAAAAGGAGCCAGGGGAAGAGGTTAGAGATACAGAAATGAAGGGACACACAGAGATACACACACACACACACACACACACGCATGCACGCAGCGAGGAAGTGAGGTAGGTGGAGGAAGAAGCAGGAGAGACTGAGGAAGTAGGCAGAGGCAGCAAGTCCAGGCCCAACAGGGCAAGCAGAGAATGGCACAAACAGAATGACTCAAAGAAGGAAGAGTAAGAGGCATACAGATTTTGAGATCAGTATTTACAGACCCACACAATCTATTCATTCGGTTGTGGGCTTCAGAATGTTATCCCATAGTCATCTATCTCTGAAATGAGTGTGATATGATGATCTAATTATCCGCAACAGTCTCCTAGGTTGGGGAATTACTCTCTGGGCACCAGCCACAAAGGGCAGGGTGATATTGCCTCAAAACCAGAGAGAAGCGTGTCAGAGTTTCCCTGCCTGTCCTGAGATGGAGCAGAGATCTGTTTGAGATGGCGTCCCCTTACCATATTTTGTCTCGCTTCCGAGTTGACAGAATCTCTGCATTTTGGTCATAGTAGGTGTCGATGGTTAAGTTCCCATCCATGTTGTGTGCGGAACGAAAATTGGAAACCACACGAGTTGGAACACCTAAACATCTCATTACTAAAGAGAAGGAAAGCATGGACAATCACTGAGTTCATTTCAAGCAGAATCATTGGTTTCCCATGCATCCTTTCTAAGTTTTAAGCTGGAGGAGAGAAAGAAGGCCAAGATTCTTGCAGATCCATACCTGTAACTCCTTTATTCTCAGAGCACTGCACCCAGGCCCAGAACCCTGCTGCCTACCTGCCCATTGATGGTCTCCATCCCACTAGGAGAAAGAAATCATTTGAAGGTTACTTAAAACAACAATAAGCAACTGAATTTATCATTTAGGGCTTTTTTCATTCAGCAGCTTTCCACATTAAAAACAGAGAACCTAAAAAAAAAAATATGCTGAATTTAAAAAAAAAAACACAGAGAACCTAAAACATTTGTAATTCGAAAGAAAATAAGAAAAGTTAGGCCTTATGCTGCGGCCAGTTTCAGGAGTGACCTTCAGTAAGTGGCTTAACTTCTCTGTGTCTTAAGTCTCCTTGTGTGTAACAAAGTTAGGAATTGGACCAGATGATTTTCAGTACTGAAATTCTGAATCTGTAATTCTACTGAAATACAAGGATTTGGAGGAGGTAAGAAAGAAATCAGAGAAAGGATAGAAAGGCAATACAGACTTACAGAGGTAAGTGGAAGACCTCAGGGACAAAGGGAACCTGCAGGTACAGAGGCAACAAGCATCTTTGATAAGGCAACAGCATCCTCTTGTGGCATCTCAGGATAGTACTACAAAGGCTTTTTAAAGCTGAGGTCATATTTCACTTAAAATTTCACTTAAGTAGTTAAGACTTACTTATACAAAGCAGATATTACACCACCTACACCACCATCTCACACACACACACACACACACACACACACCTGCCCAGGGCCAGATGTGACTTTTGGAACATAGGTCCCCACCTCAGCCAGCGAGGTGAGGAGTTTAGATGAGGAGTTTATTTGTTTGTTTGTTTGTTTGTTTTATTATGTTATTTAGTCACCATACAATATATCATTAGCTTTTGATGTAGTGATCCACGATCCATTGTTTTCGTATAACACCCAGTGCTCCATGCAGTACGTGCCCTCCTTAATACCCATCGCCGGGCTAACCAATCCCCCCTCCCCCCTCCCCTCTAAAACCCTGTTTGTTTCTCAGGTCCATAGTCTCTCATGGTTTGTCTCTCCCTCCAATGTCCCCCCCCTTCATTTTTCCCTTCCTTCTCCTAATGTCCTCCATGCTATTCCTTATGTTCCACAAATAAGTGAAACCATATGATAATTGACTTTCTCTGCTTGACTTATTTCACTTAGCATAATCTCCTCCAGTTCCATCCATGTTGATGTAAAAGTTGGGTATTCATCCTTTCTGATGACTGAGTAATATTCCATTGTATATGTGGACCACATCTTCTTTATCCATTCATCTGTTGAAGGGCATCTCGGCTCTTTCCACAGTTTGGCTATTGCGGACATTGCTGCTATGAACATTGGGGTGCGTTTGGCCCTTCTTTTTACTACATCTGTAAATACCCAGGAGTGCAATTGCTGGGTCATAGCGTAGCTCTATTTATAATTTTTTGAGGAACCTCCACACTGTTTTCCAAAGTGGCTATACCAACTTGCATTCCCACCAACAGTGTAGGAGGGTTCCCCTTTCTCCACAACCTCTCCAACATTTGTTGTTTCTTTCCCTGTCCATTTTTGCCATTCTAACTAGTGTAAGGTGGTATCTCCGTGTGTTTTTGATTTGAATTTCCCTGATGGCTAATGATGAACATTTTTTCATGTCTCTTAGCCATTTGTATGTCTTCTTCAGAGAAATGTCTTTTCATGTCTTCTGCCCATTTTTTGACTTATTTGTTTTTTGGGTGTTGAGTTTGAGAAGTTCTTTATAGATCTTGGATACCAGCCCTTTATCTGTAGTGTCATTTGCAAATATCTTCTCCCATTCTGTGGGTTGCCTCTTAGTTTTGTTGAGCGTTTCCTTCGCTGTGCAGAAGCTTTTTATCTTGATGAAGTCCCAAAAGTTCATTTTTGCTTTTGTTTCACTAGCTTTTGGAGATGTATCTTGAAAGAAGTTGCTGTGGCCGATGTCAAAGAGGTTACGGACTATGTTCTCCTCTAGGATTTTGATGGATTCCTGTCTCACATCGAGTTCTTTCATCCATTTTGAGTTTATCTTTGTGTCTGTTGTTAGAGAATGGTCCAGTTTCATTCTTCTGCATGTGGCTGTCCAATTTTCCCAGCACCATTTATTGAAGAGACTGTCTTTTCCATTGCATATTTTTTCCTGCTTTGTCAAAGATTATTTGACCATAGAGTTGAGGGTCCATATCTGGGTTCTCTATTCTGTTCCATTGGTCTATATGTCTGTTTTTGTGCCAGTACCATGCTGTCTTGGTGATCACAGCTTTGTAATATAGCTTGAAATTGGGCAACGTGATGCCCCCAGCTTTATTTTTCTTTTTCAACATTTCCTTGGCGATTCGGGGTCTTTTCTGATTCCATACAAATTTTAGGATTGTTTGTTCCAGCACTTTGAAAAATGTCATTGGAATTTTGATCGGGATGGGCTTGAAGGTATAGATTGCTCTGGATAGCATAGACATTTTAACAATGTTTATTCCTCCGATCCAAGAGTGTGGCATGTTTTTCCATCTTTCTGTGTCTTCTTCAATTTCTTTCATGAGTGTTCTGTAGTTCCTAGAGCATAGACCCTTTACCTCTCTGGTTAGGTTTATTCCAAGGTATCTTATGTTTTTTGGTGCTATTGTAAATGGAATCATTTCTCTAATTTCTTTCTACAGTTGCGTTGTTAGTGTATAAGAAAGCAACTGATTTCTGTGCATTGATTTTGTATCCTGCCACATTACTGAATTGCTGGATGAGTTCTAGTAATTTGGGGGTGGAGTCTTTTGGGTTTTCCACATAAAGTATCATGTCATCTGTGAAAAGAGAGAGTTTGACTTCTTCTTTGCCAATGTGAATACCTTTTATTTCTTTTTGTTGTCTGATTGCTGTTCCTAGGACTTCTAGTACTATGTTGAACAACAGTGGTGAGAGTGGGCATCCTTGACGTGTTCCTGATCTTAAGGGAAAGGCTCTCAGCTTTTCCCCATTGAGGATGATATTCGCTGTGGATTTTTCACAGATGGATTTTATGAACTTGAAGAATGTTCCCTCTATCCCTATACTCTGAAGAGTTTTAATCAGGAAAGGATGCTGTATTTTGTCAAATGCTTTTTCTGCATCAATTGAGAGGACCATATGGTTCTTCTCTCTCCTCTTATTAATATGTTCTATCACATTGGTTGCTTTGCGAATGTTGAACACCCTTGCATCCCGGGGATAAATCCCACTTGGTCGTGGTGGATGATCCTTTTAATGTATTGTTGGATCCTATTAGCTAGGATTTTGTTGAGGATTTTGGAATCCATATTCATCAGGGATATCTGTCTGAAATTCTCCTTTTTGATGGGGTCTTTGCCTGGCTTGGGGATTAGGGTAATGCTGGCCTAGATGAGAAGTTTAGACGGAGGTTTATCCTACTCTCCCTTGCTCAGGAGGAGCAGAGGGTGCCTCCCGAGGCTGCTGGGAGGTTAATAATGCTTTGAAAAGTAAGAGGGCTATTGAGATTGACCCATCTTTTTGTTCTGATTGATTCAAGACCCCAAAGGGAGCCAGTCACCTGTTCACAGTCACCTCTCCACTCCCAGCACAGCTCCTGGGCTTTTCACAACCCCTCTACAGGGGTGACAGCTAGGCCAGGGCTACAAGTGGCCAGAGGCTGTGTGATGGAAGCAGCTGTCCCCTCACTCGGTGGCCCCAGGACTCTAGGGCCTGGGAGTAGGGAGAAGCTTCAAGGTGGAGTAAGGATGCAGACCTAGACCTCCCCCTCTCACCCCAGCATTTAAGGGCCCGAGTCCTCCTCCATGACACCTGCCTAACCAGGGACTTCCCGGCACAGGAAAATGTGGCCATACTAAATTCTGGTGCTGTGCTGAGCATCTTCCGGGGAAAATGGAAGAGCAAAGTGAGGCTCTGATTTGAACACTCAGGTTTAAACATCTCCCCTGTCTGCAGCACTCATACCTAACTGCCAAGCTATGCTGTCCCTCTCAGAAAAATCTAGAGCTTTGTCTTTGGCGTCTGTCTCTATCTTCCCTGTTCTGTGTTCCCTCATCCTTCAACTGAGAGCCAATCCATTCATTCAGCAAACATTGAGCACCACAGTGTAACAGGTAGCACTGTGAAAGGGGCTCCTGCTTTGCACGGGGGGACACAGGCAGGTACCTCGGTATTCTGTCTTTCCCTCATCTTCACAGATAATCCAATCAACACCTTGGCACTGAATTGTAATAAATGACAATGCATAAAACATTGATGCTCCATGCAGGCAGTTAGCAAAGTAGCCAACCTCCAATTGTAACTCCTCAAGAATCTCTCTGAGAAGTATTTGGGAGCTGCCAGCTCTGCCCACAGGTAAGATCAGGCTTTTCCAGACCATCTGCTTGCACCTCAAACTTCCCGCAGCCTGTCCCTGACTCCAGGCTCCCCTGGAGCTGAGAAGCCTGAGCCGTGGTAGAAAGAAGCTGCCTTTGCCTCCACTTTGGGATCACAAGATTCTCTATCCAGGTGACCATTTTAATAGGCCCCCTGCCATCCAGGAGACTGCCGAATGATTGCAACAGGTCAACCTCACTCCTAGGCAAAGATGCAAGACTCCCCAAGACTATGCAGTGTGCCGGGTAAGAGTCCATGTGTGTACCATTCCTTAGCTGGGGGGCTATGGACAAGCCACAGTTAACTTATGTGAAAATGGAGATCATCAGGGCACCTGGGTGGCTCAGTTGGTTGGGCAACTGCCTTCGGCTCAGGTCATGATCCTGGAGTCCCGGGATCGAGTCCCGCATCGGGCTCCCTGCTCGGCAGGGAGTCTGCTTCGCCCTCTGACCCTCCTCCCTCTCATGTGCTCTCTCTCTCTCTCTCTCTCAAATAAATAAATGAAATCTTAAAAAAAAAAAAAAAAAAGAAAACGGAGATCATCAGAGCCCAGCCTCAAAGGGTTATCGCAAAAACTAAATGAATGGCTCTGCATCCCCATCTCCCCCTCACTCACCTGTGCACATAACAGCTGCAAAGACCCAGCACTGCCCATACTTCACAGGCTGCCTGCCCCTGGCTGACCACTGCCGCAGGATGGCTACGCTGCCGTTCCACTCCAGCGGGCTGACCCCTTGGGAGTAGTCCTCTCCCCAGTTCCCCTGTAGTACACCACTGTCATCATTGCTGTTGATCTGCAAAGGCCAGACAGGTGCATTTCCTCAGTGCCCCTGGGGAAGCCCAGATCGTCCTCAGACAGAGGCGGGAGGGCTGCTATCCTTACCATGGTGCTCACCACCCTGCAGAAGTACACCGGGTCATTCCGCTGGGAGTAGCCTCTGGACGGGTTCTCTAAGATGTACAGGCTCTTGTTCAAGATCTCGAAGCAGATATCTATGATGTCCTCTTCAAACTTCCAAGTGATTTCAAGGGAGAGAAAAGAGAAGAGTAAAAATGTCTAGCATCCTGAAACTTCAAGTCCGTAACACAGACTTTTAGAGATAGGGCATATGTGCTGGGGATAGAGGTAGGGTTAAATATTAGACAAGGTCCTACCTTCAAAGAGCTTACAAATCAAACTGGGGATGTATGAGATTCAGATTTCTGAAAAACGAACCTGTGTGGCTCTGATGGAAAAACGCAAACAGAGTTCGGAGGTGAGAGATCTCTGTTGACCAAGAGATCAGAGAAGGCCATTGGTGCCAGGGGGCTTTGGAGGACTAGGTGGGCAGGAAGAGAGCAGAGTGGGGATGTTCACCTGAGGTCTTTGAGTTTGGTGGTGCCAAGGACAGGGCATAGAGATTCTTGTTTCTGGAGGACATGAGGGAGTAGAAAAGATCAGATGGGTAAATACAGGGGCAGCCATGAGAGGAGAGGCGGCAGAGTGTGGGGAGCCTTGAAATCAGGTAGAGGAGTTCAGCTGAAGCTGGGAACCCAGGAGAAGCCAGTGTAGGCTCATGACATATGTTTATAACATATAAAGCGACACATGCTGCAACCCTTTTGGCTGCCAAATGCACTGGTATTTGTTTCAGTTTCAAAAAATCACACAAGTTGTCACAGTTGGAGACCAGGACAAGGCCCCCTGCTCTCTCCCCACTACCCTCCTGGTGAGTGTGGATGGAGCAGAGATGCAAGTGGGAGGGAGGCAGAAAGTACACCAGTCTCGGTTGGTGGTTGGGAGTGGAAAAGTTGCCCAGAGCCAAAAGTCCCACCCTTTGGACACTGACTGGATATTTGATGTTATTAAAGGAATTGCTGTTCATTTTTTCAGTTATGATAATGTATTGTGGTTCAGTTTTTCAGAAAGAGTCATCATCTTTTAGAGCTATAAACAGAAGTATTACTGGATTAAATGATATAGTATCTACAATTTCCTTCCAAAAATTCCAGTGATGAGTCGGGAGGGACGGGGACAGTACAGACAGTATAGACCAAACTTTGTCTGTAAAGGACCAGAGAGTAAGTACTTTAGGTTTTGTAGGCTGTGGGATCTCTGTCTCATCTACTCAGCTCTGCCACTGTAGCATCAACACAGCCATGGATGATACGTAAGTGAATGAACATGGGTGGCTGTGTTCCCATAAAATGTTATTTCTGGATACCGAAGTTTAAACTTCATATAATTTGCACATCAAAAAAAGTTTTCGTTCTTTTTCAACAATTTAAAAATACGAAAACCATTTTTTTAAAGATTTTATTTATTCATTTGAGACACAGATACAGAGAGAGAGAGAGAGAGAAAGCATGAGCAGGGGGAGAGGCAGAGGGAGAGGGAGAAGCAGGCTCCTTGCTCAGCCAGGAGCCCAATGTGGGGCTCGATCCCAGGACCCTGGGATCATGACCTGAGCCAAAGGCAGACGCTTAACCATCTGAGCCACCCAGGTGCCCATGAAAACCATTCTTAACTCAGGGGCTATATAAAAACAATCAGTGGAATATAGTTTGCAAACCCCTGGTGTAGATGGAATCCGATTCACCATAAATTGCTCACTGTTGGAGCTGAGAGATAGGTTCATTTTAGTAGCCTGTCTACTTGAATTATGTTTGAAGTTTTTTATATAAAATATTAAAAACTTGAGGGGCACCTGGCTGGAGCTCAGTCGGTAGAGCATGCCACTTTTGATCTCTGGGTTGTCAGTTCGAGCCCCATGTTGGGTGTAGGGATTACTTAAAAATCTTGAAACAAAAACAAAAACCTTGCAAGACATCTCCCCTTCCTTCCTTGCCTCTCTTACTGGATGGGAAATTGTCCTAGCGCCACGCACCCTTACTTATGTTAGTGGCCCTTCATGGGCTACTAGAGTTGATTAAGAACCAACTTAAGGACACCCGCCCCAGGCCCACTTTCAGTGACAGTTACCTGCCCGTAGTTCCAGGGCCAGACAGTGATGAATCTGTCATGACCGTTGTAAACAAAGCCATAGTCCATCATGATATACTCCTGCAGCAGTATTTCACTTGGCAGGTAGACATCATCCTCTGAGTGGTTAAATAGTGGAGGGGGCAAAAAACAGAGTAATAAAGTTAAAAGACAGTGATGACAGTGTCCTGCAGGATAATAGGGGAAGGAACAGGTTGATGGCAATAGAAATCAAGACTGGACGCCTTAAAAGTCTACTGTGCTTTTCCAGAGGCCAGTGATAGGTTCTGTTCTTTGAACATAATGATTATCATTTGCTGATGGTAAAAGTAGAAAGCTTGTTGTAGAGATTTGGAAAATACAGATGACAGAAAGAAGATGATGAAAATCATTCAGTCCCACTACTCAGAGATACCCACCATTACAATTTGGTGTATTCCAACCATTCTTTCTCTCCACATATGTGTAATACAATTAGGGTCCCATTGTGTTCCATTTTCTAATCTATTTCACTTAACCTGACACCATGTTCATTTTTATCATGGCATTCATTTTTTTGGGGGGGGGTGGTGAAGGTGGTTTTTAGTGAGCACATGGTAATATATGGCATAGATAGGTGGCTTGTATCTTCTGGGCTTTCTCAGAAGAACCTCACCAAGCATTCCCAGTGGATCAGGTTAGCATTACAGCCTGTGAGCAAGTCATACCTGTATTCCAAGGGTTAAAAAGCAGGATGAAAGTCCCCAGTGGGTGAACCACACTGTAACCCTGGCCCTGAGAAATCTCTATCTTCAGAGTGTAGGGACCAATGACTGCATTGGCTGGTGTCAAAAGGGAGACTAAGAGTGAGTTGGTGTCAACGGTGAAGTCAAAAGCGCTCCAGACATTGCCTTTTCGAGCCTGGGTGAGGGGGAAGGTGGCTCGGGTTCCCAGCAACTCCATGGACGCCGGTCCTGTGTGGGAGAGAATGATCCCAGAGTGAGGTTTAAAATCTATGTGACATGATCCCAGGGAGACTGGGAGGACCCTCACCTTCTTGCTAATCCTTTTGGCTTAAGGCTTTTATTGCCACTGGGTGTCTTTGGGCAAGCCAAAGGGCAAAGCCAACTGTGGGCCTCAGTTTTTTTATCTGAAAAATGGGATAATAACTGTACCTACCTGAAACTCTGATCATGGGGATTAAATGAAATAATATGTATAAAGTTAGCACAGTGTCTGTTGCATATTGAAAAATCAGCTGTTTCTATCACAATTGGATAGATTTTCTGATCTGAGTTTTCTGAGTTGGCCAAATCTTTCCTTAACATCACTTATAGGGTCCTGGGGATCCCAGGAAAAGTTAGGGGAGGGAGCACTCAGAAAGGAGAGGTGGGAGTCCTACAGGTGAATTTTGCCTTGGGGCCAGGTGAACTCACCAGTCTCAGCCACAAAGGTGAGGTAGTCTGTCCCAAAGTGGAAGGGTCTGTTGAAATGTAGTTGGAGCCCAAAGGGCTGGCCCCGCCGCCCAATGAGCCGCTTCAGGCCCATCTCCTGTGTGTGATGCTCCTTGTTGTTCCTCGGGCTCTGCAGGTCCACAGACCTGAGCTCCAAGGCTTCCACTGGAGGGGGTGGGGGAGGAGATAGGTCATTACCCAGCCGCAGCACCCTGGCTCTGACTTTGGTAGGATTCCGTCCAGACCTTAGCCCTGCCTCCTAGTTTCACAGTCTGGCCTCAGAGGGCAATGTAGCAGACCCTGACCCTGGAGTGGGAAGATTGTGATCCTCATGACCTCTGCCCCTGGACCCAGAGCTACAGGGCTTAAGAATTAGGGTCCCAGGAAGAGAAATGTCTCCACAGAGCTGAAACTTAACCCTTGAAAGGCCACCTGCATACTATTAACCACCTTTGTTGACAGTCTTTCCAAAACTTACTCTACTGTCGTGCTGATAGAAGAAAGAGCATATTAGAATTTTGTACAAGTTAAGTCAGTGAGCTGACTGGAGGCTGGGACCTCAGCTACAGGCTTTAAGATCCTGGGTGGGTGGCTTATTTCTCACCTGTCAGCCACATTCCAGGTGTATGAGGGCACTCACTCTTCCCAGGATGCTCCCGTAGGTGTACACCTAATATACAGATTAAAGTCTCTCATAGCTCAATGGGCCAGAGCGCAGGCTCTCACCACCTCAGCTGTGAGATTTTGAGTGAGTCACTTATGTCCTAGACATCGTATCCTCCACTGAAAAATGGAGACAGTGGTATTCCTACCCCATAGGGTTCATGTGAACATTGAGTGAGGATTCACATGTAAAGACCTTACTATAGTGGCAGGTAGAGAGTAAGCCCTCAGGAATCCAATCGCTCATAGTGCTAGAATAATGCAGCCTCAGATTTCATTTGCTTAGTTATTTTTGCTGGTGGTATTTATTGCACTTACTGTGAACAAAAATCTGTTAGGTTAGGTCTTTTTCCCGAGTAGCGTATCAGTTTATCTCAGTGGTTCTCTCCACTGGAGAAATTCTGTTCCCTAGAGGAAATTTAGCAATGTCTGGAGACATTTTTGGTTGTCACAACTGGGCATAGAGGCTGAGGATGCTGCCAAACAGCATCCTAGAGGAAAAACAAATGTTAGCACCCACCTGGTTTTTGTGCCATTCACATTTTGAACTTCCACATTTTTTTAAAGATTTTATTTATTTATTTATTTATTTATTTATTTATTTATTTATTTATTTATTTATTTATTTAAGAGAGAGTGACCACGAGCCGGGTTAGGGGTAGAAGGAGGGATCATGACCTGAGCCAAAGGCAGACACTTAACTGACTGAGCCACCCAGGCACCCCTGAACTTCCACATATATTCTTTATGTTTTTGCTAAAAGAGTTCAGTTTGCTAGTTTCAGCCCATCTTTCCTACCTGGCTGGACTTCTTAAATCCTAATTCTTTCACTCAATGCTTTACCTTGCCATCTGGGGATTGCCTAAACTGTTTTCCAGCTCTTCATCCAAGTCACTGGTGATAAGATGGTTCTGAGCATTAGGGCTTAAGTCAGAAGCCAATGGAGTATCATGTTAGAGCTTTCTTCCAGGTTAATGCTGAGCTATTAGGAAATACTCTTTTAGTTGTTCAACTACCTGTGACTACATCTAATACTTTACATGAGGAAAGTGGATTAGGTGTTTAAAAATGTCTTTCACAAGGGCGCCTGGGTGGCTCAGTCAGTTAAACATCTGCCTTCAGCTCAGGTCATGATCCCTGATTCTGGGATCAAGCCCACCCCTCATTGGGCTCCCTGCTCAGTGGGGAGCCTCCTTCTCCCTCTCCCTGCCAAGTTATTCTCCTCGTACTTTATCCATGCTGCACATGTTACTTCAGCAAATAGCTCAGAGCACCACCAGGGAAGGTAGGAGACTATGAAGGTTAAGAGGGAAGGCTCTGGAGCCAGCCTATATGGGTTTGCCCCGTTCCCTGCTCATGCTTTCTTGCTCACTCTCTCTGCCAAATAAATAAAAGATCTTTAAAAAATATCTTTCACAGTCTAAAATCAAATCCAACTTTCATATTTGCATCTTTCCTACAAGTTTGTTAAACATTTGGCTAAAAACAGAATGTTCTTGGTGATCCCTTGATCCCCCTTCTTGTAACCTTCTTTCCTTGAGGTAGATTCAAAGATGAATTACTGGATCAAATAGTACAAAGTTTTTAAACCTCTCAATGTAACTTAGGCACTTAAATAATTATATTATTGGAACAAGAAAAGTCAGGGCAAGACCCAAGACAGATGCCTTTGAGTTACTTAACAACATTTTTTTAAAAAAATCAGGTCCACTCCATTAGTAGTTTGAAAATCAATTTAGAGAAATGTGACCCATATTTTCAATGTATCACCATAAGGAGAGCAAGTGTAATTTTTTTTTTAACTTTTTTTTTTTTTTAAGATTTTATTCATTTGAGACACAGAGATACAGAGAGAGAGAGAGAGAGCATGAGCAGTGGGAGAGACGGAGGGAGAGGAAGAAGCAGACTCCCCGCTGAGTCAGGAGCCCGATGCGGGACTCGATCCCAGGACCCTGGGATCATGACCTGAGCCAAAGGCAGACGCTTAACCATCTGAGCCACCCAGGCGCCCCAGCAAGTGTAATTTTATGTGTAACCGGGTCATGATGTAAACTGTGGGTCATAATCAAAAAGTGTGAAAGCAACTGGCCTAGATACTGGTGGAAACTGATTGCATCTTCTCTGTCCCTGAGGGATCTCACATTTTCATACCAGGAACCACGGGCCCCTGAAGGAGGCCTCCACCCCATGTATAGCGCCCAGTGGCCATTCCACCCTGAAAGCTCAGGTTTTCAAAGGAGGCAGTGAAGAGCACCCAGGCGTGCTTACATCACTTCCATGGGAGGGAACAGGACTGGGGGCAGCCCTTTGCTGGTTGCTGTTCACAGCTAGAAGCATAGCTCCTGAGGGCGGCCAACTCAATTCTCCCTTTACCCAGGCAGGTTCTTGGTTTGGGAAGGAAAGGGGAGGAGCAAGAAGGAGGATGCCTTCCTCTCTGTGCCTGAGGTTGCAGCTTACGGAGAAAACTCGTTTTCCTTTGGAGACTCAGGTTTTCTTTTTTATTCCACTTAACGCCATCACGCATTTGGCTCACTAAAGTGCATTTCCTGTCAGGGAGACAGTGACTTCAGAGAACAAAAGGGAGGTCCTTCAAGGGAGCAGGAACAGAAAAGCAAGAGGATCAAGAAGAGGTTCAACAAAGCAGGAAATCAAGCAGAAGCAGTTAGTAAAAACACGTCAGCACCCATGAGGCCTTCTTGACTCAGCCACGGGCCCACCAGGGTTAATGACTTGAGTGAGAAGAGAGTAAGCCCTAGCTACATGACTCCTGGTGCTAAAGGATCAAAATATACCCCTATGTATTATTAGCCTTAAAAAGTGTTGGGGGGAGACAGGGAGGACATTTAAACAGCCATCTGCTTGTGATGAGTTCTGAGATGAGTCCTGAAGCTCCTGCCCCATGAGACCAAAGCCTGAGGTGGCCCTGCTCTCAAGGATGGCTCCATCTCGGCCCTTGGGTCTTAGCTCAGAGGTAACCACTGCACAGGGACTTTCTTCAGCCACTGAATATGATGCCCCACCTCTCACCCTATTGCTTGCCATCACAACACCCTCTTTATTCTCTGCTGGGCACTAAATAGTATCTAGAATTAGTTCTGCAGAAGCAGAGACCTTGGCCGTTTTCTCACACCTGGATCCCCCATGCCTAGGATGGAGCATGGTTCCTAATTGCTATTGATGATAGCTAATGCTCACTGAATACCTACTACATGCCAGGCACCATCAGAAGCATTTTATGTGTCTGAAATCATTCTTGTTCTTTCAACCACCCTGTGGTGGAGGTGTTAATATTGTTCCCCACATGCAGGAAATTATAGGGCAGAGCTGGGATTCAAACCCATGCAGCCTGGCTCCAGAGCCTTCCCTCTTAACTTTCACAGTCTCCTGCCTTCCCTGGTAGTGCTCTGAGATATTTGCTGAAGTAACATATGCAGCATGGATAAAGTAAGAGGAGAATAACTTGGCAAGAGGGCTGTAGGGGAAGAGAGAAGCCCATGAGGGCAGCAGGGCCAACCTGAGGGGCTGCTTGACTCCAGCCCAAGATGCTGCTCTTTGATTCAGTAGTAATGGGTACACCTATCTACAGTGGAAGGATAAAATGGTACACCATTATTCTGAGGGCAATTTATCAGTATTTATCACAAAAGAAAAGAAAGCCTTAAAACGTAAATACATTTGAGCCATAAATTCCTCTTCTGGGAATTTTTCCTAAGAAAAATCATAATTTGTGTACAAAAACGTAAACAACAGGATCTTCAGTCCAACCCAAATATCCTACAGTAAGAGTTGGATACATAAACTTTATTCCTCTCATTTCAATGTAACCAACAAAAAGAACAAAGAATATGGGGAAATAATTCATGAGGTATTAAAAAGCAGCATAAAAAGCCTCAAACTTGGTATGGTACGGATTATCTTTAGGTGGTGACACTATGGAAAATTTTTCTTTTCTTGGAGTTTTTTGGTATTGTCCAAGCTTTTGCTTTGAACATGTATTCCTTTTGTATTTAGGGGAAAATGTTACTTTGACTAGAGGCAGGTTTTTGAACAGAAGTGGCACCATCAAAGCTGTAGGTCAGGATTAATCTGGCTATGGTATGTAGCCCAAACAGAGGGCAAAAGTCTAGGGTGGGAAAGGCAGTGAGACTCTGTCGTAATAACCTAGATAAAAAGGCTAAGAGGACCCAAACAAAGGTGTTCGCAAGAAGAAAAGAGGGACCTCCCTGTGCATCCATGGGTATGTGACAGGCTAGTAAACACTTGACTTCCAGGGCTTCCTAAAGCTAGTTTGGATGAAGACTGGGCAGGTTAAAAGCATCTACAGCCAGCAATGTCCTAGGCAATTAGGCTACCGGTGAAAGACCGGAAAGCTCCAGACAGAGATAACAAAGGGTAAATTATTGAGGCACAGCCAGCCGTGAGACTTGGTACCTGCCACCAAACATCAGGTGCACTCGGCTCCTTCCCTTCTCCAGCCTTTGTCCCTGCATTTAGTCTAGCTCCTCTGTCAGTGTCTTGTCTCTTCCCACTTCTCATTATTATTGTCAGTTTAGTGCTTTCATAAATATGTCATTCTTTTTCATTTCTTCCCTTTAAAAAAATGTGAAAGGGTATGTCTTTGTGAGAGCACTTGAAGATTCCTAAGTGATGAGACTATTGCAGCGTTTCTGTGTCTCTTAAAGTGTGCAAGAAGAAAAATGTCATATTATCTAAAAGTTCAAGTCCAAATTTCTTTGTCAAGCATTCAAAGCCCTCCATAACGTGGTACCAACATATCTATCCATTCTTATCTCCCAGTAGCCCATAAATAAACTCTGCTTCATTCATGTTGTGTCTTCCTAATAGATCATGCCCGGCTGGCTCTACCTCTGGATGGTCCCTTCCCCAATCTCTACATCCCCACCGTCTCCATTCTTCCAGCAAAACTCAGCATCTACCTTTTACACGAAATCCTCCCCAAGCATTTCGGAACATGGAGATATCTTAACACCTGTAACAATAGTTTTATATCTGGGTAATACTTATTGAGTGTTTTTAAGCCCAGGCTTTATATGCATTATCTCCTTCTATCCCTACAACTAGCCAACAAGATATTATTAACTCCATATTACAGATGAGCAGACAGACCATCAGTGATATTAAGTAACTTGCCAAGTGTCAACTACCTAGTAAGTGGCAAAATTGTCATTCAAACCCCCCGGCTTCTCTGTAGAGCCCTGGGGGTCTAAAGAACACAACGAAAATCACAGATTCTTCCCAACCTCCTCATCCGAAAATGCCAGCGGGTCAGTTCAGAACCAGTTCCTGGGCCCACCTGTGTCCCTCTCTTCTTCTCTGGAATTTCTCAGACTCTGAACCATTTACTTGTCAGTTAATCATGTACTAGTAAGCTATTTCTTTGAAACACTATTTCCCTTTAATGATATCTCCATGATTAACTATAGTATGTGATTGTTTACACCTAGTACTCAGCAATTCAAATAGCTACTGGCAGGAGAAAAGTGTCCCCAGGATGGTTATACAGTTTAAATCTTTAGGTCCTTTGCAGCAAATGTAACAAAGGATATATATCCATAATATATAAAAGTTGCCATAAATATTAAGAAGTCTTGCTTTAATCAGAGAAACGCAAACTGAAACAATAGTGAGATCCTATCTTTGATCCATTTAAATTATTTAAAAGAATAACAATAGCATATTCTGTGAGTATGCTATATATGGAAGTGGACTGTTTCATACATTGATGGTGGCAGTGTAAATTTGTACAGACTTTTTAGATGAAATCGTTTGATATTGAAGAGGAGCAGAATATGCCATCCCAAAATATGCCCCTATGGCATAAAGATTATTTTGAGCTGAAGGTGCTTGAGAAGCAGATATAAGAAAAGCTCTTGGCACTCCCCCTATTTGCCTAAAAGCGGGACATACACTTACAAAGGTGTCCTTCCTCCCTTCTTTACCAGGAAGGGCAGAAGCCGATCACCAGAGACAGCTCTAGACCCTCATCAACCCAGAGATGGCACCAGAGGAATCTACATAGCAAACTATTAACTGGCCCTTCTCTTCCACTAGTATCCCCCTATATTTACCTTCCTACAATTTTCTGCCCTAGAGACTCCAAGTCCTTTTCCTTTGTCTTGTCACTTCTCTAACAATGTCTTGTTCTCTTGTTGAGATGCTAGACAAGCCCAAATTCTAACCATTGCTTTGAGTTATTCATCACTGAGTGCTCCCATATGTGTGCAATGTACATGTTAATACACTTCTGTGTGTTTCCTGTTTCTTTTATCAGTCTAATTATCGGTCCCCAGCCAATGAACTTGATTGCTAGCAGGAAAAATAGTGAAGTTTTTCCTCTCCTACAATGCCCATCAAAAACTTAGTGGAGAGCGCCTGGGTGGCTCAGATGGTTAAGCGTCTGCCTTCGGCTCAGGTCATGATCCCGGGGTCCTGGGATCGAGCCCCGCATCGGGCTCCCCGCTCGGTGGGGAGGCTGCTTCTCTCTCTGCATCTGCCTCTCTCTCTCTCTCTGACTCTCATGAATAAATAAATAAAACTTAAAAAAAAAAAACTTAGTGGATATTGTCTTTGATCTAACAGTTCTTCTTTTAGAAATCTTTCATATAAAAAATACTTGCACACATATGCAAAGTTTTATCAGTAGGGATGTTCACTGCAACATTGTTCATAAAAGCAAAATACTGGAAACAATCTAAATGCCCATGAATAAGGCATAGTAACAAATTAAATAAATTAATGAATTTATTAAATAAATTGTTTATATACCCAGAATGGAAAATTATATATAATTCATTTAAAAGTTTTGATAGACCAGTATACACTGACATGCAAAGATTTCCAAGATATATGATTAAGTTTTTTAAAAAAGCAAGTCAGCAGATAATATGTATTATATAACTCCATTGTATAAAACAAAAAATTCTATATAATCTATTATTATCTGGAAACAGTTAACCACACTGTTAACAGGTCTCTCCCATGAGGAAGGAGCAGGATTGGGAGTACATAAGTATGTGAAGGGGGACCTGGCCTTTTTTATCCTAAATTGTGAACTTTTTACTTTTTATAACAAGCATATGTTTTTTGTGTATTACTTGCTTAACTAAAGTATAGTTTAAAAAAAATAATATAACATTTAGGCTTTGGTTGGGGATAGCCAAGGGGAAAAATTACCCTAGACTTTGGCACAAAAACACCCTAGAATCTAGCATAAAACAGGTGTCTTGAGACTTCTCTATTAAACTCTGACTTGTGTTAAAATACCATGTACATCCCTAATCTCTAGTAGTTTCTGGGATACACAATTTTGGACACAATTTTAAGAAATACAGAATCCATGTTCAGTGTCCTCTCCTAGCAGGCCCTGTGTGCCTGCCAGGCTGGAGTGTTCTTTACATTCCCAGCAGCAAAGTTTCTGAGGGGACCCAAAAAAGAGCCTGAGTTCAGAGGGCAGGAGCAACACCCTCTAAGGGGAGCTGAGAGTCAGAGGAGAGGTTGGGCCAGGAGAAAGGTCTAGGATCTAAGAGGTGGTCTTTCCACAGCTGCAGGGTTAGCCACAGAAATGGCATCCCAAGTACCTAGGGCGCCTGGTGGTAAAGGTCAAGATCCTCATGGACTTCCTCAAACTTCCCAAGGCCATTTCAGTCACAAGATGTTAAAGAAAAGATTGTTCACAGCTTTAGGGTTAAGCTGAATCCACTCACATGAAAATGAATGGCTGTATGATTTGTGCCCCAATGATTTGTGTCTTCTGAATGAAGGTGGGGAAATGGGAGGAAGGAGCCAGATTACAAAGTGAACTATCACCAACCATTTAAGTTCTCCTGTTTCTTCTGTTCACCCCCCACCCTCCCCAAACACCTCCCATCTCTTAATTCAGCACCTCAGAAAAATCAGATTCCCAGTACTCGCTCGGGTCCATCACCCTCCTTCTGTCAGCCTGGGCCCTTCAACTAATCAGTATTAAGATTCCAGAACCTAATTGTGTCTCTGAGCATTTACAGTCGTCCTTCAAGCACCTTTTCTCCCATCCTGAGCCAGCTGGGTGGGGCTGCCATTTCCTTCTCCTCCTAGGACTCCTCCTGCTCTTAATTTCCCCATTGTTCCGGGTGCATCTTTGCATAAGGAAAAAGCTTCTATCCTAAGCCTTTTAAAAATTGCTGAGGGATTTGTTTCTGTGGCCTCCTTTTTAAGCTGAGAAGACTCAAGTGATGTGGAAGGCAAAGCATGGTTTGATCTGTCCCTTTGCACCTCTCTCTCTTTAATGCTTGGGACCCAATTTCCTCTAAGCCAGCTCCGTCTGGTATCAGGCACTTCCAGATAGTCAGTGTCCAGATGGGGATGAGTAAGGAGCAGAGCTGCCCTCAGGAAGGTCATTCACCAGTGGTCATGAAAATGGGTTTGAACAGCCCGTTAGGACCTGGAGACCTTTGCATCTTGAAAAACAGAGTATATTGACATGGTGAATTATTATGCCACTGATTAAATGTGAAGTTGATAGGGGCGCCTGGGTGGTTGAACATCCGTCTCTTGGTTTTGGCTCAGGTCATGATCTCAGGGTCTGTGCTCAGCAGGGTGTCTGCTTGAGATTCCCTCCCTTTCCCTCTGCCTCTTCCCTCGCCCGCCCCCCCCCCCCCGCTTGTGCATGCTCTTTCTCTCTCTCTAAAATAAATAAATAAGTCTTTTTAAAAAATGAAGTTGATAAAGTTTCCAATGACAAGGGGAAATGCCTATAAATAGTGTTAACTAGGAGAGGGGGGAAAGCAGGGTACAAAAACAGTGCAGCTTATCTCAATGGTGTAAAGAATATTATTTATATACATAGACTCATTTTTAAAAGATGGAAGAAAATATAAACTGTGATTGTTTAAAAGCAGTGAGATTGTGAATGATTGTGATTTCCTTATTTATACTTTTCTGAATTAAAAAAAATTTCATGGTGGGAGGTTAAGATGTTTTTAATCAGGGAGGAAAAAAACGTTTTTCAGAGAAAGTGAGCAAAGGGGTAGGAAGATCATGACTGGAAATCTGGACATGTGTATTTTACCTGATTCACAGTGTAAAGAGAGAAGCAGAAGTATTTGGTCAACACACCTGAAGGAAGAATTTGGTTTGGTGAAGAATAGTGCTGCAGAGAAAACATAAAGCTATTTATACGTTCACTGGTCATTGTCAAAGGTATGTAAGAGATGCCTAATTCTCTGGGTTAATCTGTGTGATTCATCAAAAATTCCCACACCTATTGTAACCAAAGCTTTCTGTCACATCCTGTGCCTTTTTTTTAATGTGTTGAGTGTATTTAGGAAATGGTCCTCAATAGATGCATTAAACTTACTCATTACCGAGTGTTTACTGAACATCCCAGGGACTTTATTTTATTAAAAAAAAATATATTTTGACTCAGAAAAATATACTTTGGTTACAGGTGCAAAAATCTCTTGTATTAGAACTATATGCTCTTTTGAGGAAAACGGAATTAAAAAAAAAACACCTCTTTGTAACAGAAGTTCTAATTCATATTGAAGATATTTTGAAAATAGATTTTTTAAAAGATTGTATTTATTTATTTGAGAGAGAGAGAGCATGAGCAGGGGAGAAGGCCAGAGAGAGAGGGTGTGCTGAGTAGGGAGCCCAACATGGGGCTCAACCTCAGGACTCTGAGATCATGATCTGAGCCGTGAAGGCAGACAATAACAGACTGAACCATCTAGGCGCCACGAAAATAGATTTTTTTAAATGGTAGAGGGTAGTATACATTTTGGTAAATTTCCTTGCTGTTATTTTGTCTATGTGGAGGTGGGATTTTTTTCCTTAGTAGTAATCATACTGTATATTGAGGACAAGACCTGCTTAAAGTACGAATTTCCATATAAAACAATTTGCCATCTTATTTGAAAATACAGCTTTAACAATATAATGGCTTTTGCCTTGTAAAAATAAACTTTCACATCTCAAATTTTATTTATTTATTTACTTACTTACTTACTCACTTACTTATTTGAGTGGGGACTTAGATGAGAAAAGAGGTTACTCCAAAAATAACCACATATTACTATCCAGGTTAACCAAAGAAATTTCATTTGGTCAGCCTAAGAGCCTCATTAAGACTCAGTGTCCCGGGGCTCCTGGATGGCTCAGTGGGTTAAGCATCTGTCTTGAGCTCAGGTCATGATCCCAGGGTCCTGGCTCCTTGCTCAGAGAGGAGTCTGCTTCTCCCTCTGCCTCTTCGCCCCCCACCCCCTGCTTGTGCTCTCTCTCTCACTCTCAGATAAATAAATAAAATCTTAAAAAAAAAAAAAAGACTGAGGGTCCCAATTTTCACTACTACTTTGATGCCTTCCTTCCTTCGTTTTACAAGTACTGAATGCCTGGATGGCACCATATTAGAAGTTTGAGGCACACAAAGGTGGTCTTTAACCCAAAGGAGCTTAGAATCTATTGGTGGAGAGAAAACACATACAGTATCCTCTACAAAGGAGACTGCCCTTTGTAGCCTCAAAACAGTGGCGGTCTTCTTTAGAAAGTATACTTTTACAGCAGCAAGTGATTAGTTTTAAAACCTAAACATCACTGATCAAATTGAGCTTTTGATTACCCCTAACATTTTTTCATACCACCACCTACACCAGCTCATTATACACGATTGTCATGCCCACCTGGAATGTAGCTAAGCAGTTATATTCGGCAACTAGTTTTTTTAATTAAGTTAGAATCCCATGATTAAGTTATCAATATCCATCATGGTATTACAAATCATGTTCGTCGACTGATTATATTATATTCTGTTTATAGATTTCTCCCTAAAAGACAAATGCTTAATATAGTCAAGTTTTAAATTTGGTTTCCAGAACAGAAAAGCTTTTCTACCATAGAATCATCTCTCTGTTGATAGTAGACTAACCTCTGGTAGGGTTAATCCACTAGATTTGTCCCATAACAAGGTAGCAAGCTCTGAAGACCCTTAACTCTAAAATAAATACAGAACAGACCCACTATAATCCTCTCCTTGCTCCACATCCTTCTATGTGTCTACTGGCTTCTCCACTTGAAGATCTTGTAGTCACTTCAAATTCAACATGTTCAAAATTGAATCTGTTAGTCCCACCCAGCCCCCAAATTCATATTCTTACTCATCCTTGTAAATATTCTAAATCTTCATTAGTTTTTGGAGCCTTCTGTTTGACGGTTATATGACCAAATGAATAGGGCACAGGTTTCTGAGTTAGAGAATTAGTTCAGGATCCTGCTTTGGCCTTTCTGAGATTTGGTACTTATCTGACTATAAGCAAGTAAGCCTTGCTGAGCACCCCACTCCTATATAAAATGGGGCTGGTAGCAGGGCCTACTTCACAGAGTTGCTTTGAGAATCAAATAGATAGTGTCTGTAAAAGCCTTAAAGTGCTACACAAACATTAGCCAGTTTTATTTGGTAATAACGGTAATATTTATGATCCTTCAGAATGTGAGATTCATACAAGAACGTGTCAAGATGTGCTAAGCTGCCCAAAGAGACATTCATAACCATGGAGAATTTGCCATAGCCTAGTCCAGCCCAATCTCACTCAGCCTTGGCTTTACTCCTGGCTTGATTATTCTCAAGGGAATGGAAAACATATATGACCTGAACTGATGAGGTCATACCCCTGCTTCAGACTCACCAATGGCTTGCATTGCTTCACAGTCCAAAATCTTCACATGGTTCACACGTTCTGCCACCATGTTCTACCCTGACCACATCTCCAGCGGTATTGCCCACCGTTCTTCCTCTCACTTGCTTGCTGATCTTTTCTTGCCTGCCCAATTCCTCAATTCCTAAATTAAAGCCTCTCCCCAAGCCATTCCCTTCCCTGGTCACACTCTCTACCTCCTCTCCAGTCCTCCACTGAAATGTCACTTCATCACAGAAGCTTTTTCTAACTAGCTGAGACCCCATATTTACTCTCTTGGAACGCTTAGCTTCTCTTTCACAGTACTGATCACACTTGAAATAATCATATGTATACTTTGTCTTCTCTAGACTCCCTGCTTGCTATGTGTCATTTGTATGATTCCACCTGAACAGGCTGAGCCATTTGCAAAATAAAGCCCATTTTCTATGATATCTGAACTACAACAACACCAATCCTTCCCCTCTGAAATTAGCTGGAAGTCAAGTAACTCCTGGGATCCCCTCCCCTCCCCAGAAGTCCTAGATCCCCTCCCCTAGAAGTGCCCAGGGTTGCTTACTTTGTGCACAAATCAGCTCTACTCTCTTGACAGCTGGTGTGCCTGCTTAGAGAATGGGAACTCAGCTGCAGTCTTTCAAGGATGGGTTGACTGGCTCTGCCAGGCTAGAGGTTCTTGACCAACCCCACAAGCTGGGGAGGATTGCAGAGGCATTTAGCTATATAGCTGGGAGGGTGTGGCAGGAGGGGTTAATAAGATCAGCCACACCCACTGCCTGGGTAGCTCCTGAACCCCTGCTGTGGACTCAGGTTTTCTTCCAAACAGCCCCTTCCTGTTGTGAGTCCCTGCCTGTCTGTCTGACCTCAGTCTGGACCACCCAGGCCATCAAACTTGTTTTAATGTGTAAACATCCAAAGGAAGTTAGTCATGTTGGTCTCCTAATACCCATTTTCCAGGAGGTTCCTTTGCCGCTTGAAAATGATGGAGGAAAAGTAATGGAGGAGTTTTGCCTAAGCATCCAAAACCTAGGGTGGAGGTAATGCCTAATTTTGCCAACAACAACCCAAAATGGCCAAAAATATTTTTATTCTTTTTTTGTATGTGTTAATCCCATCAATTATGCTACAACCAGACTTTGTTACTTCTTCAGGCTGAACATAATCTAGTTTCCTCCACTTCTTTTTATTCCAACCCCACCTACCACCAGCCCAGTTCACTATCACCCCTCCTGGATCATTCTACCTTCCAACTGGCCCCCCAAGGCCACATTTTGAACACACACGATCCCTACACCACACAACACCCAGAGTGATCTTTCAGATTCATTCTCTCTCTGCTGCAGCCATTCATTCATTTGACAAATATTTGCCAAGCATTTGTCCAAGGAAAAGTGGTGAGGTTGGTGGGGGGAATGACTGGAGGGAGGGGTCAGAGAAGAAGAGGCTGAACCCCACTGGTCATGTAAATTATGGTTAGGAGTTTGGGATTTCCCCTGAGCTTTCCTGGTTCCTTAGGAACATCTGTTTTCTCCCTGTCCAACACCTTACATGCATTTTCCTGGAATATTCTCCCTTCTTCTATTCTCATAGTTAACTATTCCTCTTTCTTTAGAACTCTAGCTTAAACATTCCTTTCTTCTGGATGACTTCCTTGATAAATGTGCTCATAGTTTTCATGCATTTCATTCGTTCATCCACGAAAATGTATTGAGTGCCTGTCATGTGCCAGACACTGTTCTAGGCTCTGTGGATACAATTAAACAGATTTTCATCAAATTAGAAAGGTATGTTTAGAATGATATGACAGGAAATGTGGTTTACATGGTATACGTCAAAGAGACGGCCATCCTTCAGAGCAAAAAAGGTACAGTGAGCATCTCTAGGATTTGGGCTGAAAGAGATACATCTAATGAAGATGTAGTAGGCCTGAGGAAGTAGCAATTCCAAATTAATTACAGGCATTGACTTGGGACCTAGCTGCTTCTCAAATGGATAGCACTATGAATTCCAAAGTTTATTCACTTAGAAACAGTAGTGATTTCCCTAAACAACCCCAGGGAGGACCTATGGCTATTAGCGGAGTAGACATGGTTATTAGTGAAGAGATGTATGGTTGTTAGTCCCCAGAGAAGACATATGATTATTAGTGAAGAGTGTCTGTATCCAAGCTCCACTGGAGATTCAAGCAGCAAGTCGCTAGGGGCTGCCACTATTTCCCACATGGAATTCGGCAACCCCAAGTGGTGTCTGGAGTGACTCCTTTCAGAATGAGCCTCTACAAGTTTAGACAGTCTTTTTTTTTTTTTAAGATTTTATTTATTTATTTGAGACAGAGAGAGAGAGCACAAGCCGGGGAGAGGGGGGCAGAGGGAGAGGGAGAAGCGGACTCCCCACAGAGCAGGGAGCCCAATGTGGGGCTCAATTTTAGGACCCTGGGGTCATGATCTGAGCTGAAGGCTAACCACCTAACTGACTGAGGCACCCAGGTGCCTCAACAAAGAAAGTCTTTTATGGATTCATTCAACAAACATTTTAATTGAGAGCTTCCATGAGTGTGGCCCTCAACTAGATTCTGAAGGTGCAGCAGTAAATAACAGACATGGTTCCTATACTCATAGAGTTTATACTCTACCAAGGGAGATAGACATCTCAAAACTAATTACTTAGCTCCAAGTGAGCAAGTAAAGACAGTTCTGAAACCATATTTCAAGAGGACCTGGTCAGTCTGGGGAAGAGTGGAAGGTGGGACAGGAAGGCCCCCATGGGGAAAGATCTTTGACTTTGTTTTATAAGATAACCGGAAATTCTAAGTATGAGAAGATAATGCTGAATGGCAAAGAGCTGTACAAACACCCTGAGGTACAAAGAAGCAGATGTGAGTCCCCTAACATTTCTGAGAGAAGGTCAGTGTGACTCAAGTACCTAGAGCAAAGGGGAGCATTGGATGAGATGAAGGCCAGAGATTTTGTTTTGGGGTTATGGCAATGGGAAGCCATTAAGGGTTTTAAGCAGGGTAGTAAAATGTCATGTTTGTATTTAAAGAGATCATTCTGACTTTAGGTTGGAGGAGCAATGTGGGGAGGAGGGCAGAGGTGGATGGAAGAAAGCCTATGGGGAGACCCCTGAAGTGAAACAGGAGAGAAATGATGGAGACCTGGATCAGGGTAGTGGCATTAGAGATGCTCTCAGTGGAGAACACTAGAGACATTAGAAGGTAAAACTGACAGGCTATGGTGATTGACTGGGTATGTGGAGTGAAGGAGAAGGAGAGTCATGAGTCCTAAGGTTTCTGGCTTCATGCTTCTGGATGGGTAGTGATGCTGTTCTTCAAATAGGAAACACTGGATGAGGACCAATTTTGTGGGGTCAGAATAGGGGTCAGGTTCAGGATTTGTGGTTGAGTTTGAGATGCCCTTTAGACATACAACAAAAAGTCTGATTAGGCTGTTGAACAGATGAATTTGGAGCTTAGGGGATGAGTGTGGATTCAAGACATAAGAAGACAGTCATCGGAGCCAAGGGTATGGATATGTGCACCTGGGAAAGGTTGTAGAGTGAGAAGAGCACCTAGGACGGATCTTTGAGGAACACCAGCATTTAAAGGGTGGGTAGAGTAGGAGGATGGCCACAGAGGGTGAACAGCAGCCAAAGAGGTAGTAGGAAAATCAGGAGGTGGCTATCCCAAGAAGCCAAAGAAAGGGTATCTCAAGAAAAAGAAAGTGCTTATCGGTAGGAAGTGCTGACAAGCCACCAACTAACATGAAGTCTGAAAAGTGTCCATCAGCTGTGGCATGAAAACAATTGGACGTGGGGGAGAAAAATTTTGATTGTGAGATGGTGGGAGAGGAAAAGATATTGGAGAGAATAGAGGACTGCATGGCAGGGAAGGGAATGGATCCAGTGATGTGGACAGAGTTGGGATGGACTTCCTTTCTTTTTGCCAGGCTTCATTTTCATTCTTTTAAAAATAACCAGTGAAGGGAAAAATTTAGGACACCAAGAGGAAGAGGCCAATTGAAGAGAATTCTTTCACTGTCCCTTTATTTCTACTCAAAACAATATTCAATATATTCTATATATAAATATAACATTTAAATATTACTGACTTTGGGGCAACTGGGTGGCTCAGTTGGTTGAACATCTGACTCTTGATTTCGGCTCAGATCATGATCTCAGGATTGTGTGATTGAGCCCTGCATTGGGCTCTATGCTCAGTGTGAGTCTGCTTGGGATTCTCTTCCCTCCCTCTGCCCCTCCCCCACCTCTGACATATTCTCTCTAGATAGATATAGATATAGATATAGATATAGATATAGATATAGATATAGATATAGATATAGATATAGATATTACCTACTTTGTTTCAACCCTCTGTGGGTGAGATGGCAAGGTTGGGTATTTTTTTTCTTTTTCTCTTCTTTTCCGAATATCTAAGTCAATCTGGGTCCCTTACTTTATGGGAGAAAAGACACACAGGGTTTCTCATAATGGGTGCTTTCTTCAAAGACACAGTGAAAGCAGATTTATTTGTAGATATAACATTGTATCTAAACATATTCCCTCACCTGAGCCCACAGCAATGGGTAGGTCTTGCACTATTTATAATTTTAACATGAAAGAGCCAGTCAGAATGATTTGGGTAAAAGTTTCTTACCAAAATTCTGAAGCAGTGTTACATGTTGCATTTGGGGCAACATCAGAAATTTGCCATTTGAGAAAGATGTAGCAAAACTTGCTTCTATTTTTTTGTTTTTTCCAAAGAAATAGAAAAAACTGCGTACTCAAATGGTGAGTACCAGGAGAACTTTGGGCCTATAAGGGGAATTTGACCACAGGGTCCCCAAATAATAACTCTTTTAAGACGTTTGGTGGTGAGGGAAGGGTAGCATCTGGAGAGGTCAAAGGAGAGCTTTTCCTTAATGGAGAAGAACTGAGCATGATCAGATATTGATAGGAAAGATTGAGTAGGAAGGGATTGGGAAAGAGAAGCAATAATTCAGGGATTTCAAACTCAAATGTCCAAGGGTCTAGCTAGATAACCTAAATGCATGAGGC